CGATCGATCGATTCCACCGATCGACGGAAATGGAACTACCGAAGATTGTTAATTTAAATCGAACACCGTGCCTAGAGTGGTATTTTTGAAATTTGCTTCGTTACTTTCTAATGGTTTCACCCGTTAATAGCAAACTCGTTAAAGTAGAATGTAAATTCTGTTCTCGAATTTCACCGCTTCTAATTGTTCCATTGTCGACGAATGCTTTTTATCATCGCCCCCGTGAAGATTTCCCCTCTTCACGAGGGAAGAAAAAGAATAACTGATAAGTTATCGTGCGAAATGGCATCGTTTTAGTTACGAATAGAATTTTATTTTAAATTACTGTGCGAAACGGCATCGTTATTGTTACGAATAGGAATTTTATTTTAAATTTTTAAAGTGTTAAATCTCACGAAGGGAATTATATTATAAATTATTCCAAAGTGTAGACAATGCTCCCGACAATTTTCAACCGAGATTCTGTCATATATTTTTTTTAATGATATGTCCCCAGATATATGAATTTACATATGAAAAACCGCGAAAACTTATAAATGAGATTATATATGATAAACGTACTACAATGTATACTATACTATATATAATCGTGCTGTGAAATATCGAACCGATTGCCAAGTAATAGTGTGCCGATAATCGATCCCATATGCGATGGAAGTTGGAGAAAACAAACGCTATCGTGGTTGATGGTTTTAAAGAGATCACGCTGTTCTTCGGAGGAGAACCAGAAGGACACGTCGCCTAATCCGTCGAAATTCGACGGTGCTGGAAAAGTTACGGCCGAGCGGACGGAATCGAGGGTGTATCGATCATCCGAGATGGATTTGCAATTCAATTTCGTGGGTCATCCCGAAGCTCCGCGTGGCTGGTCGAGTGTTTGCGGTGAACGGAACGGTGTCAATAAGGAACTAGTTGTTTGAGTTACAATTTCGGGCGTTACAGGCTGTTTTACATCGAACCGATCCGGATTGATTTCTTTATCTTCCATTGCTTTCCACGCGAATTTCCACTTTTCACAATTCTTTTTTCTGATCGACATCATGAATTATACAGCGAAAAGTATAATTGAAACATGGCAAAATGAAAAATTGTCAATTTAAACTGATATATTAATATACATATATACGACTGTCAAATTAGAGAATTCATTCTTCAATGAGACTAAATAATCCTGTTTTACAAAATATATTATATATATAATTGATAATAATATATTTCGTAGAACAAGATTACTTGGTCTCATTGAAGCATGAATCTTCTAATTTGATGTCGTTTCTTTCGAATTTACATCATGCGGCTGGTGGGAAATTAGAGATACTGTTTTCTCGAAAATTGTAAAAATTATTTTTTACATTGTTATTTTGAAGATTTATAACGACTCTGAAAACTTATATATCTTTTCCCATCTTTGTTTACCATTTTAATTAAATATCGAATATTAGAATTAAATGACAAAAGTTCAAGAAATTTCGCCATATTGAGAATTAATTAATTCTACATCTACAGCGATTCGCGAAAGCATTTAAACGAAATTTTATGGGTACATACTGCTCGGAATAATAAAAGCACTGACTTTTATACATAATCACAGACTTAAGATTAAGATTGCTTTTCATAAAGATACTTATTAGTTAGTCACAAAAGAGTTTGTACAAGTGTTAGAATATTACATCTAGCACAAATAATCCAGAATAACGTGTCACTTTGACTTTCATATACACTCACATATTTATTGATAAAAAAAAAAAAATCCCTTCTCTCATATTTATTCGCAAAAGATTTCTTCACAAGTGTTTCGAAAATTATACTTGACCCAAATGATCGAGAGTAACAGAAATAAAAAAAAAGAAGAAAAAACATGACGAAAGATAGTACTCGAGATGGCTGGAAGCAATCTTCCAAGAGATAAGGAAGCTACACGATGGTAGCAAGTTCTCGATACCGGAATCTAACGCGTTTTTAACGAGTACATCGGAACGAATGATTTATGCTCGTGGCCTCGGGATTGCCGCAGCCACTGTGTACCATTTCGTGGTAAAACTTGGGAGATTACCGCGGCGAGACCGCTAAAGCTCGCAATGTAAACGCGGCGGCAACGTAAAATCGGGGATTCTATTTGCTCGGCCCGATGCTTGGGATATTTATACGCCGAGGATTCCGCCGTTGAATCGGGAACGCTGCTTTTTAATAAACTTAAAAGCATCGCCGTCGTCTGAGGGAGAACCGTTCGGGCCAACTTATCCCCGCGAGTTTGTCACTCGTCTCGAACGTCTCGAAGCTAATTGCACTGGATTAATTCCGCGCCCCCTTATCCGAAATGCGTATCCACTGTTTCATCTGATTCGAGATTTATCCCTTTTTCACGTTACGGTTGGATCAAGTTAATTACTAATTAATAAGAATTAATAATTAATAAATTCAGACAATTGAAACGATTGTATATTAAAGTAGAAACTTTAGTAGGTACCTTAGAATTTAGTTTCAGATTTTTTGAAAGCCAAGAAAATCAACCGCGAGCACAAAATCGATGAACTTAGGTTACCTGTGGAAAGAGTAAAAATATATGCTTTTTTCTAAAAAAGAGGATTAAAAAAGAATATTTGTCAGGCGTCGACTTCAAGTTTGAAGCTTGTCAAGTTTAATGTCATCTGAGTTTTGTCAGTCGTTTTTTTACTATCAAGAATTAGATTACTTATATAATAATTCAAAGATAAAGTCTAATAAAGCAAGAGTTGCCTGCAACGCTAATACAAGTATGCTAAAAAACTGTATTAAGAGAACAGATGACCTGCCATGTGATAAATTAAGATTGGAAAATACAAATACGAATACTGAACCGCAAGATTATCGATAATAATCGACTGAAGATTTTAATTGTAACAATTATAAAATTACTTAGAACGGACAAACTGTATCGAAATTGAAATTTGACTTAATATCATTATAAATTATAAATGTTGAAACTTATTTGATAAGACAGAATAGTTTATGTAGAAAATATTATATGAAACTTTTTGAAATGAGATTAAACAGGAAGATTTCTTCAAACTATAACTTTCGAGGACTATTTTCATGAGGAACCAGCGAATCTTGTTAAGGATTTACAATCTCTGAAGATCGCAATGATTAGATGTTACACTGTCAAGAGGCATCT